TCTCACTTAATTACTAACAAAGATCAAATTCATGTTGAACACATATGCAGATTTATATCATATCCTCAACTCATTCAAAATACATTCATTCCTCATAATTAAAATAGAATACATCATAAGTTACTCACTCAACTCAAGCAAACAGAAAATGTCATTAACTATTACTACCACTCATTTCAAACTCATAACAGACAAGAACAATCACAATTGAACTAAAAGAGAGAGAGGCTAAGATTAGAGCTAGACAACCTAATTTCGAGGGTCCTTAGAATCTTTGGATGATGAAGGAGGGTCCTTAGGATCTTTGGATGATGAAGGAGGTGGTGCAGGATTGGAGGGTTGCAGGTCAGACTTCAGAAGACCTCTGAACATAGGCCTCTTGTGGTCTATGTTGTCATAGATTTGCTTTACTATCTTCTGACTTGACATTTCCACAAGGTTTGGGTTAGCTTGTTGATGAGCCCAAACCAAGTAGCTTTCTATGGCCGATGCATTCCTGGTCCAATCTCTAAGCTACCTTGTGATTTCTGTGAAGTTAGCATGCTGCTCCCTTATTTTCATCAAGGCTTGGTCTGGCTCGTATGGTGGTGGTGGTGGTTGAGGACTTGAACTAGACCCACCAGACCCCATAGTTACTGCACTCATCTGATATTTCTTTACATCCAATATTTCCTTTCCAAGCAGTTTCTGGTCTTGTCTAATCATGTTGTATTGAGTGACTTGATGAGAGAAGAACTCCTCTTGCCTTGCTTTCATTGCTGCTAGCTCATCTAAATAGGCCTTGTGCCTTGTTGATTCTGCCAAGGTTTGATTAACCTGGTAGTTCTTGATCTATTGAATTTCTTGAACCATCTCTCTTTGCTCTTGCCTCACCTGATTGTAGAACCTATCATTATTCTCATAAAGCTCTTGCTGCTTCCCTTTTATGTCCCTCAACTCAGCCATGTACTCGGCCTGGTTCTTGCTGATGTTTTCTAAAGTTTGCTGCTGGTACCACATCATATTCTGCAGTTGTTCTTCGATGCTAGCCAGATCTTTTTGATGTTGATCTGTGTAGGTCGAAACATGGTAGAGAGGTGGCTACTGCACTGGTGGTTCATTGAACTCTTGATGGTGTTCAAATTCAGGTTGCTGCTGCTCAAAATCAGGTTGGTGGTGGTAGTCATGATCATACCCATGCTCTTCATTTCCTTCCTCACTCTCTTCCTCTGCCTGAGGCATAGGGTGATCCTCTTCTTCATCCTCTTGCTGCCTTTGTTGGACAGGTCTTGGTAACCTTGTAGATTCCATCCTTCTTGCTGTTATAGGCTTTTCAGCTTGAATTTTCCTTGATCTTCTGAATTCTCTCAGAGTTACCCCTGCCTCCTTGCATAACTTGTAGATGGTGCTAGGAAATCCTAGCTTCCCTTTCTCCTTTATTCCTTAGGCCATCCTCACAATCTTGTCAGCTATTATGTCCTCTGCTCTAACATCTTCACCTCTCATAATGCAGTGAATTAGAATAGCTCTAATCACTGGAATTTCGGACCTGTTGGAGGATGGTATGAGCGAATGTATTGAGAACTCATGCCATCCTCTAGCAGCAGGGTTGAGTTCTTGTCTCCTTAGCTGAATAGGCACCCTCAATTGACCTGTGCT